CCCATTTTAAGATCCGCCCCTCTATAATCCCTTGAACCTAAATCTAGAAAATACTTTAAACCCATAGATTGATCATTTTCGAACTCCTTGAATTCAAAATCATGGAGCAAAAACAAAAGGGATGAACAAAAGGAGCCTTATTTGGGAGCAGAAGTCCTCGCCGGAGACAGCAATGTTGGTTTTAGAAAAAAAAGAATTATAAGGAGAGGTCGACTACATGGAAGATTTGTCATTCAGGTGACCTAAAATCATTTTTTCTATAAATGCATGACTTATTTTATTGTTAAATTGTTAAATGGTTGGCTGCCATCTTAAAAACTTAACGGAATATGTCTAGCATACCTGTTGTTGCTTAATCCTCTCTCGAACTTTGATGGCCTCTTCTTAGTTGATGTAGTTAGAATTAGGGTTCAACTCGTTCTTTATATATTGATTAAGAGGATAAGTCTGGAAGATAATCTAATAGCGTTTAAATAGAATTGAAATGGACAAGTTAACATTTCTATTGGTCAAGGAGAGAAAAAAACGCTATTTAACTTCTTTTTTTTTTATCTGAGTATTTGTGATAAATTCTAATTATTTAAATAGAAAATTCGAATAAAATGAACTTTAAAAAATCAGATTTTAAATTAAAATTTAATAATTTAAAATGAAAACATAAATACCCATTAGCTGTTTTTTTTTATCGGTTTTTGAAGAATTTTTTGTTTCAAAATTAGCTTTCTTCCCACCGTCCCTTGAAGAAAATTGTGGTTTCTCTTGATTTAAGGTTTTGATGGCAAAATCCAAGGTAATATTTCTTTCAAGTTTCCTGCAAACTAAGGCAATCTTGTCATCTTAACCTTATTAGTTGGTGTTTATTGATGATATTTGATGAGGATGGTATATTTACATGTTACTATCAATCCTTTTTCCACTCTATAATTTTAGAAGACTATTGAATTGGTTTTTGTATTGATGGTTTGTTTGCAAGTAATTAAATTATATATTAGGCATTGTTACCAATTGATTGCAAAGGTGGGCATTGTTAAACCCTATTTTCCTTCGTAAATTGGTTTTTGGACTGATTTGTGTCTGCAATTTTTGAAGAAATTGCCTCGTGTCAGATTGGGGAAAGGGGAAGAAGAGACTGAGATTGAAGTGCAAGCATTAAGTGAGAACAAGGAGCTTGAGTTCTCTATTCTACGTGTAAGGAATAAACTCTTTTTGTTTTTTTTGTTTTTTTTTACTTGCAATTCTTTTCATTATAGAGTTAGGATAAATCCACAAAATATATTTTGCTATTATGGGACACTGTTAATTTTTCTTCTGCTAATAAAAAGGAGAATTTGGTAGGTTTTGCTCAAAGGGGGAATTTGGGGCTGCCATTGGTGTTTTCTTTGGCCAAGAATTACATAAGTAATTCAGGTATCTTTAAGTTATGCATATCTACCTTTTAATTTCCTATTATATATATTTGTAGTCCTTTAGAATTTTTGTAGAACTTTACTACTTAGCTATTGTTGCAATT